GACGTCGCACGCGTCGTTCGCGTTGCCGCGCTTCGTTGCAACTGTTGTTCGATTTGTGCTCATATCTCCTGAACAAATATCGGCGACACAGCTCTACAGAGTCACTTAAAAAGTAAGAGCTTAGACCGTTGATTCAATAACTTCGAACTCAAAGAAAACCTCCTGCAAACGTCAGGAATCTTCAAAGCAGCGTGCTGCACCATGTGCAGCACCAGTCCGGAACGTGTTAGAACTTATTTCGAGGCTGAAAAAGCAGCCAAGCCTGCATTTTCAGCCTGCATCGAGTCCTCTTCCAGAAAGGCTAGCTTACCCACCGACGGAGATATTTGTAGGCGAGGTCAAATAAATAAGTTAAGAGACTTTGATAAAGAAAAGCCACCCAAGCAAGCAGAATGTGTCTCGCGAGTTTGCAGTTTGTATGAAGTATCTTGAGCGGTATGAAAGTCACGCAAAACTGTCTACACCGGGTGGTAAACGTATTTTGCCACAGGCACCTCTTCCGCTGACTAGTGGTCCTTTCCATGCTATGGCGTACGTATGAGTATCGGTACCCCGCCGTGGCGGAGCTCCTCTACCCTTCAAACTCTTTTCCCCTACGAGCCGATTCCTGCGAGCGGGACTTGCCTTAGCTTCAATCTCATTAGGATCAAAATTCTGCTGAACAATACTTCAATCATTTAGTTTCTAGTGACAGCACTTAAGGTTTAGTCGTACTGTACTGCTCTTATGCTTATTTCACTATCACCACTGTTAACGTTGCTTGGTGTTACTGTTGTCTGAATGTTTACGATTGGTAAAGCACGTCATAAAGTCAAGGAGTCGGCATCCGGTAATGCCACACGGATACGAACATCGCAAGGTTACAATTTTCCTAGAATTTTTTTAAAGAAAGAGCACTAGCTGCCGAAGGTCATTAAGGTACTGAAACTGAGAAGAATACAGCTAGAACCTAAATCTATTATATGTGGAGATAAGAATTTTTGAACTTCCCTATCATTTTTTCATTATTTGTTTTATTATAGTTTTCAGTGATCTTTTAGGTGATAGCCTTGAATTAAGCATCTCTGGTCGTTCTTTGTCATTATTAGCGTCTCTCTCTTCTTTTACTCACCGAGAAGGCAGGAGGGAGCAATTTATACAGAGTAATTTCATCACAGCAGAATCGCAGCAGTATTGAAGTATGACATTAACATTAGCCCTCGACTTACAACTATCATTTAAAATTTATGTTGGAATAAATAGCGAAGTTTGTAATAGATAGGGCCCATGCAAAAATGAGCTTTGATTCGAAACTATTATACATTATTGAGAGCAACACTCGCACGAATATTCGTAAAAGACCTGGGATTCAAACTCGTTCAAAAGTCAAGCAAAGCCTTCTTGTGTTGAGAAACATCACCTCACCTATATTATACCTCGATAGATGAAGTCCGAAAATGACATCAGCTTGAGAAAATCAAACTTTCTCTACAAGTGGCAGACGTGGGGTCAAATCATGCAGACTCTGGTTGAGCGTATTTACGCTGCACATAATAACTGAGAGTGCTCGAATAATAGAAACGTGACTTTGTTTTGAACACCTTTGAGCAAAATCTGTCATCTTGAGAATCAGTTACCCAACATGTCTGCATAAACTCAAATTTCCTCAAAGCACAGAATTCCAGTTCATCCTTTGTGGTGTCAAAGCAACGTAGTGAAGAGAGACGAAGTATGTTGATCAGTGCAGCTCATATATAGCTTGAAGTTTACGAAAACAGGAAAAATTTCCGGAGCTTTACCCAGTTTTTGCAAGAAATCAAAAACTCATGACAGTCTGCTGAAATTTTGAATTGAACATACCCTCTCATTAGAACAACTATGCATAATAGCATATTTATTATGTGGCTGATTTGTGTAGCATAGCTTCCAGATTGGCAGAGTATGTGAATGACTTTTCGGATATTAAGTTAATATGAAACTTGGCAGGCATTTATTTATTTTCGTTTATTTCCGTGGCAGTACAAACCAGCTTTGGCTGAGAATTAGCTCACGATAAGGAGAATGACTTCTATCAGTCATACAACCTATTATTTATTTAGAATTGCGTCTTGCACCCGAAATCTTACTCAAAGAAAGAGCGTAACACAATCCTCGCTAATAAAGTTTGATTTGCTAGCAAAAATCATGAAAATGAAAGTCCTTCAAGGTTCTTCAATCATTTACATATTATTATATAGCAGTAACAAATACAATTTGCTAATTATTAGTTTGGAGAAAAGAATGTCGCTTTTTTAGGGTTTTTTCATTTAAAATTTGTATTTCTCAGGAACTAGAGTATATACAAGGCCAATATTCTATGGTTGAAGTCTCGAAGGTTTGTAGTACACAACTGCATAATTTGCGAAACCCAGGACTACTAGGGGCGGAGTTTGCCGTTTTTCGTTTTTCAATTTCTTCTTGATTTCCAGTGGCGAAAAAACTATGGTAAGGGCACATATGGATTGGTGGTGTGTCTGCTACATGTTGGAGCGAGTGAGAGGTTCGTGGGATTTTTTTGGGGCGAAAATCCGATTTTTGGCACTATGAACTGCTCTTACGTTTTGGCCGTAAGCTTTGGGTATACGACTTAAGCCAGCGTTCAGATGTCATCATGTAAGAGCTTGCTTTGCTCTATCGAATGACATTCGTCATATATTTTTTCCGATTCGTCCTGCTGCTGTGCTGTAATATTTTGAAAATTCGTTGTTTGAATGACATGTTTTTTTGACTAATGTTGCTTGGAAAAGTGGCAGTCCCATGCAACATGTACACAGTTCTTGCAGATGCATTCCATAACCAACAATATTCAAGATGTCAATTGTGATCCCAAAAGTTGCATCGAGCCAGGGTTTGAATGTCTTCATGTATCATCGTAATCTCCGTGAAATCTGCACGTGCAGTGGCGGTCGCAAAAATGATATCTAGAAGTGAGGTAACAGAAATAAATAGATGACCGATAATCACTATCATGGACCTTTTATAACAGAGTCGTTTATTCGTACAATAGTATAGGAAGCTTTTCATTCATCAAAGGTCAGACAAGCATAATTCTTCGTGTTATGCAGACCATTCCAAAAGATTTAGCGACCATTTTTCGAGGGGGAACGGGGTAAAAGATGTGAAATGTTTGTCTATTCCACACCACCCTTCCTCCGCGTTGGCTTGCCACTGCCACGCAGAAATCAGCACCGTGAATAATAACAGTGCAGGGCTACGATTTTAAACAAAAATGTTCCATATCTCAAAAAGCTGTTGTATTGAGCAGAGTTTGAATTTAAAAAAAAGCTGGAAAAACTGCTCAGAAGCATAATATTAGATCTACGAGCTTACAACGATTTGTTTGCATTTAAATTAATTGCCAATGCTTGGAACAAGGGAACTGTAAGTTACATGCAGCACTCCAGAGCTCCGAGATTCAATGGCTTGAAAGTAAAGTCGAACAGCAGGGAGCTCTGCCCGCTCCTGTAAAGTTGGAGCTTCATTCCTAATTTCCCAGTTTTCAGGTTTTTTTCTTCAAAAGAAATCGAAATATTACATTGTTGGCAAAAATCAAGATTTTATTCTTGTAGTTTTAAGAGTTAGTTTAAGGTAAGAATCGTTGACTGCCATTTTATGTGCGATTTCTGATAAAATTTCAAATTCAATAAATTTGGTGATATGGGTTTTAATTTAAACTACCACACTCAATCAAAAACAAGAAAACAGAAGCCTTTGATTTATTGAAGATTATTTAGATGTGGTACAAATCATCCATCAATTGCTCTCAATTGCGGAACAAAAATCTAGAGGCCGAACTGTTTTGAACTCACGTGTACTTAAAACTTCGGTCCAATTATTCTTTTCAAACTAGGAACGGTTGTTCAAGTTGTTTCAGTCATTCTAATCATCAAGGTCATGTTTGCTTATCTAGGATAGAAGGTACTGAAAATTTGTCCTAATTTTGAAACTCACATTTGATTGCTATGCATATTGCTCCATTCAAAATTTTATTGACAGACCAGCATGTATATCAAGCGCATAGCCTAGGAAAGACACATTGCAAAACATATAGGAAACTAGATTCAAAGATGAATTTTTGACTTGTGGATATTAATGGTAGCTTACTTACTACTCTTGCGGAGAAATGTGGAATATACATCTATGCAGTACAAAAGAAAATACAAAATACAATGATACACTTTTCTCTTACGATGTGAAAGTAAATATCATAAACTGAATGAAACACAGTTTATCTCGTTCGGAATCAGTTCTTCACGAGTTACCACATTGTGAGAGACGTTTTGTCAGTTTCTAGAACAATTCGGGCGAAAATTGGCATCAAGGTAAGGGAGGGATCAATCTGCAAGAATTCATTGTTATCATTCGCCATTCAGATGCTTCGTCGTACTATGCGAGCTCCATTTCCGGGGTGAGAAAAATTTTCTTCATTTCAAACTCGGGTAGGCTTCGATAGTAATTCCTGTTATGCTGGGTTTACCTCCGCAAAGTTACCTTTCAAAGGAAGAATGTCCTCTCCCCGTCTTACTCCTATCCCATCAGTCTCCTTTCCGCTTCCAAGTTTCAGCATCGGGAGCAGATCAAGCGGTACCAATCCCTGACCCCCCCCCCCTCCCCGCGTCCCCCGTCCTCACGGTGGCGTCATGCACGGCGGCGCCGTTTGTGAGTTCAGCAGCGGGATCAGGCGGCGAGGCGCGACGGCGACCCACGCGGGGCCCCGGCAAAGGCCGCCGCGGCGTTCCGTGGCGGCTTCCGCATCGATGGCGGGCCGCGCCGCGTGCCGCGTCGCACCGTTGCCATCCGCCACACCGGCGCGGCCGCCGACGATTCACACCGACGGCACCGGCCGGTCGCTCTTGGCTCGCCTTCTGTCCGGATTGTATCTCTTATACTTTCTCTTGAGTTTGTGTATCTATAGGTCTATCGCCTTCATTGCGTTCATCCGCAAGGTCTCCTTTCAGTAAAGGAACCATTTTTTTCCAAGTAGGAAGGAAATATCGTTGTCAACCCAAAATGGACCCAAAGTTCCCATGTCCCCTCCTCTCGCGCAAATCTAATCCGCTTCCAGATGTCGGAACGTACCGAAGAATCAGAGGACAGCGATGGCTTGATCAAAGACACCTTTGATGAGGATACCCTTACTCAGGTATGGGTCACCTGACAAGCCTAGGCCTACGAAGTCAGTTCAGCTCCGGATTTTTCAGCTGAGCAGCCTAATCGCTTCTGGTCGAGGCGTTCGCATGGATGAGACGCCGGCATTCAACATGAGGCTCATTGCCGAGGTGCGCGCTCTGCCGCGACGTTTACTCATTGCTTTGCGAGGATTCGCAATGAAACACAGATCAGGGGGGGGGGGGGGAGAGGGAGGTTACGCTTCACTATTCTAGAGGGTCATGTATAGAAATGGGAGGGGGCAGGAGATTTCTCTTCACTGTTCTATGGGGTCAGATAGTTGAAAGCACAAGTTTGTTCCAACTCTTATGTTGGCCTAACCTGATAATTAGACTTTCAGAAATGAATTTCAAGATCAGTCTATCATTATAGTTCAAGATATTTTGATTTCTCATAAGACAGTTTCTTATTTTGCCGAATGGAAGTCTTTTAAAAGAATTCACACATTACCAAAACTCTCCTTCTTCAAGTTACTCTTCACTACTTCAATGGTTTTACGCACGAATTTTTTCTTTCTCAAAACAAGCTGGCCTTTTGGTCTTCTGGTTTCATACCCTCTGACTGTTCTTTTTTCCTGTGTAGTTTTTTAGTAAATTTAAGAGTAAACATTAAAAATAAATTTCGAGAATACAAACTCCTGCAAGGATGCTTAATTCTAAATTGACCTGGAAGCTTTAATTTTGAAGTATTTGATCCATTCTATCTATCAAGCTCAAAATATTTTTCCAAAGATTTTATCTTGCAAATTTTATATTTTTCAGCGGGTTATGGTTTTTCGTGACTTTCCCTCGCAAATTCCTAGAGCTATGTTTTTAATAGCTGAAAAATCAATTCTTCCAAATCCTTAAAACTAAGTGAAAACCCTTACCTCCATTCGAACATGCTTTCTGCTTGAATAGGTTTGCAGAGCACAAATTCAAAAGCGCAGAAAAAATTCTCGCGACCTTTATTTCCTTTCCCCCTCCTCTATGCGGAGACATAAACGATGTTTTTTCTTTCTCCGCGAATACAATTGTTTCTTTTGGCTGACGCATAGAAGTTTAGCTTGTATTCATTTTTGAATTGAGATTTTCGACATATGTGACGTATGCTACCTATATTCCTATTTCTGGCTAATCTATTCAACAAATTGTCCAAAATATCAATCCCTAAAGTCATCGACAGTGCCTTTCTACCAACGTAAAGGCCCATTCTAGCCCTCATCTATGGAAATTAGGATCTCTAGAGGTAAAGCAATCTTTGCGGGTTTTCGACTCAACTTCAAGATATCGCAACTTTTGGCAAATTTTTGAAGTCTCTCCCGGATTTTTTTTTGGTTTTGTGGGCCTCTAAGTCTCTAATGTCAAGTACTAACGATTTGTTACTGCTCAATTCTTATTGGCTTCTCCTTTTCACAAAATCGAGCTCTTATTTTGTATTACATCTGGGACCGTGGCTGTATCGCCTACATAATTCTTCTTGTGCTCTTTATGGAGCAGTTTAGCTCATTTGGCAGCTGCTTTTTCTTGGAAGATTTGACATTTTTTCACCGAATGATATACACGTGTAAATACTGCCGTTCAATCATTTAGATTCGTTACAATGCAAATCCTCAATTATTCTAGACACTATATAGTAAACAACTATTTTTACAGCTGCAAAGAACCGCAGTTGGCCAATATTCTCACAGGGTAAAATGTGGCCATTCTCAACGAATGGCCTCTTCGCGGCATCAGCTTAGCGCATCGTTCTTGAAAATTAGAGCGGAGAAAAGCGTCACCTTTACATTTTTTTGTTAATTTGTTCATTGTGCTTATCCGCGTGTCTCAAAAGTGATCAAAAACTTGGAAGTTGATTGGAAACAATATTATGTAGAAGAAAATGTGGAATTAGTGACCATTAGTCAATAGTAACTCTACTGTTTTTTGGCTGGTTAGGTACCACTTATCATGCCGAAATCTTCTAATTGCTTTCACCGGTGAGAGTTTTTCGTCGACAAACGAATAAGAAAATTAAGTTATTGCAGATCCTACCCCTCGTGAAAAGAACGGTGAGGTTTATTTTCAAAAAAAAATTAGTACAAAAATATGCCTGCCCTTTTGACCAGCTCCTCTAAAAAGATCATAAGAATAGTCGAGCATTATGTACAGATGTACAGCATTTTTCCGGATTTATCTGTTTGTCAATGGAAACCTTTCTGTAAGTGAACAGACCAGGGAAAAGTTTTCAATGACCTGGCTCTGAGGAAGCATCTCATTTACTTGGTTGATTGCCCTTCCCCATACTAGATTCTCCACCCATCTGTCCTCTTTCGGTGTTGAGAAAAGAATAAAAACGGCTTCACAGTTTTTCTTTTTGCAATGCAAAACATTTGTTTGGTTGTTCTTCGTGAATTAGTTTTTCTTGGGAAACACATTTTCAATAGAGGATCGAGTTACTTGGTAAATTTAATGTCAGAAACGTCATGTTTTGTCAACGAATAGGATTTGACAAATTTTGAGCGCATTCCTCCCCTACAATCGTTTACAAACTTGCGGCCTAGTGGATAGGATTCTTTACAATATTGTATGGAGGTAATTTTGAGGATTCTGTCTTTTGCGTTTTCGAAAAAAAATCAACTATTTCAGTCAGAATTCAACTAATTCATTTAATTCTGTTGCTGTTACGGCCATTTATTGCCCACCGTTGATATGTATATTTCTTTTCAAGGCTTGTCCGCATCGCTATATCGTGCTTGAAAAATTTTGTTCGAGACGACCTTGAAAGTGCAAAAGTGATTATCTCGCTCGCTCACATGCCGTCGCTATCGTGTAAATATGAAATTCATCTATTGGATCGCCGATTTTTCGGGCCATGCACAATGCTTTCATATAGAATAAATTTGAAAATATGTCCGGCAATTCTCTAACTGTCCTTTTTTGTTATATTTTACTGGTTCTTCTTCTTGGCTTCCATTCGCTAAATTACCGTCCTTTCCAGACTGTTCACTTTGCTTTTCGTTATTTTTCAAAATTTTCAGCTGCCAATCAGACTCAGTAGGCTTAAAGATGTATTAAATCCTTCGACTTTGCTCAATAGGCCGCCAAACAGTTTAGAACAAATGCAAACAATGTGCGACAAACCCCTTTATCTCGTAAACCAGAATTACTTTGGAAATCGGAGCAAAATTTACAGAAGGAAATCCGCATAACACTGTTTAGAAAGAAAACCATATATATTTACAACTGTCTATTCTTGTATTGTTCAATATAGTAATGTAGCTGATAGCGGAGGTTTACAGAGAGAAGTTCTCTGTACACGAAATATTAGGTTGTCCCGAAAGTTTTGTTCGTTTTTTCAACCTATCATAAAAACACGGGAGTGAAGATAGGGAAACGCTTCAGGTACTATCCGACGCAGCTTTTCCTCATCTTTCTAACTGTCATGCTTTCGTGCCAATTAATCTTTTGCTCACTGAGATAAGCGCCGAAATTTCGAACCCATGGTTTTTACTATGTCCAAGTTTGGCAATTTTTCACAATTTTTATTTTTGACTTTCGGAAAAGCTTTGGCAACACTTAGATAGAGCAAACAAAGGGCAATATAATGCAATTTTTCGGCATCTATAGCCAGCCTTGAAAATTTTTTAGAATTATTTTTCTGATGTTATCAAATTCCACTTTTGGTGATGCCAAAAGCCAGAGATCATGAAACGGCGCACAATTAAGGTGTTGTTCGATGCAGCTTTTCCTCCTCTTTCCAGTGAGTGTATTTTCTCTCCAATTTTCGGGGTCCTTATAAAATTTTCATAATTCTTGAATTTGACCCCACCCCAGCGTGTACACGTAAAATGCAAAATCTTATATTTCGAAGCGGTAAACGCTCATTTGCTTCGTAAAAATAGTGAATAATCGTAATCTGTTTTTGGAAGCTTCAAAATCCGATGATTTGTTAGTGTTCGAGGCGTTTCTGTATTTTGGAACTTCGCAAAAGTGAAGAATTTTGAAAAAATTATCTTTAAAAATATTGAAAAGCTAGCTAGATATGCCAAATAATTGCATTACTTTGTCCTTTGCTTACTCTATTTGAAGGCTATCAAAGTTCTTCTAAAAGTTGAAAATGAAGATCGTGAAAAATTGTCAGACTTGGACATAGTAAAAACCATGTCTTCGAAATTTCGGCGTTTATCTCAATGAGCAAAAGAGCAATCGGCATGTGGGCTTGACATTTAGAAAGAGGAGGAAAAGATGCGTCGGGTAGTGCTTAGAGCGTTTCCCTATCTTTGTTCCACTTATTTTTATGATAGGTTGAAAAAACGGACAAAACTTTCGGGAGAACCTAATATATCGCTCCAACTCGAATTTGTTTTCTTTGTGAAATTCTTTTAAGCCTCAATCTATCTAACTGCAATACTCCTCTTACTCTGCCTGAAAATTCTTCAATCTGATAGCCAGTGTTACTTTTTTAAGCAAATGAACAAACAGGTAGAGTCAACAATGGTATAGATACTTTTGAGACGATAAAGTTGATATTAAGGTTATCATGGGTTAGAAAACGTTATTGAAAGAAATTTAAAAAACTCAAGCGAGCAAGTCAAAATTCATTTTTCTGTTATTCATCGTTTAACTCTAGGTTAAAGCGAGACGATACCTCTACGATCACACTGATGAAGGGTATAACCTCATTCCATGGCGAAACAATGCCTGGGTGGAAATTGCAGATGCTCTTGATTCATCTCGTAAGTTCCAAAAACTGAATCTTGATAGCTGATTTTCGTGGTGTTTTTTTTTTCGACAATTTCGTCCTTGAGCTGTAAAATTTTGTTGCTAAAAAATGTGAAACAAGCTTTTGAATTCGCAAATACACGTGATTGTTTAGCTGAGCACGTGAAAACCCGCTGGAAGACATTGCGTGATCGATTCAAGAAGGAAGAGAAAAAGGAGAAGATGACGGGCAAGCCGGCCACATGGGTGTTCCAGAAACCGTTGCGTTTCATTCAGACTCTGCCTAAAGAACGGCTGTGAGTTTATCTCTGCAATTTCATCTTTTCTTCCACCTTTTTCCCCCTAAAGGTTACAGCTTTCAGATCAGATGATAATGCATCAGTTGTGAAAGACGAGCAACCAGATAATGGCCATATCTCTCCTATGGAAACTGCCATTTCATTCATAAAGCACGAGATGAACCGCGCAGCGGAAGCAGCAGAAGCAGCTATCGAACCCCCTTCTTCATCGGAAGCAGCTATAGACTCTCCCTCTATGACGCCTCTGTCAAATCAAGGTTTGTTTGACAAGGTGCTTGTTCAAAATCTCAATCAGTCAGTCAAAAGCAGAAAGAAAATGTGAACCGAATTTTATTCCTTCTGTAGCAGCGTTATAGCTGATACAAAAATATGAAAAAATTTTCAGGTAGCGCTTTATGTCTACAGTATGTATTTGTCTCAGAAAGACGGAACTCATCTAAAAATTCATGGTTTTACCACGAAACCATAGATGAACAAACTTGTAGCCCTGTAGCTCCACAAACAGTGTTACATCACGTGAATATTCTACAGATCCGTGTGAACTCGGCCCAGCTGAAAAACGTCCTCGAGTTAGCCTTACTGAACACATTCTTCCTATTCCGCCAAGGTACAAAGGCCAATGAATACTTTTCAAGGCTTGAAGTAAATGTTTAGCCGACTTCTCGCTCCACCTATATGGCAGAGAATTGAGGACGAAGAGGATGAAATGTTCGGTCATATGGTTGCATTGCGTCTGTCGAAGCTTAGTCCCAAAGCAAGAGAAATGGCTAAGGTTAGCAACTGCTAAATACAGGGTGCGGCAAAAGTCTGGGAGCCTAACTTTGCAGTACTGCAGTTAAAAAGATACTGATGGTTTTGTTTTCAATTTTATGCCACATGATGCTGCGGTCATCCTCTACAGAATACACTTTATTTGGCTGGAAATGGCTGCCATATGTTTTTGTAAGAATGGAAATTACCAAACTAATACTTTTGAAGGGCGAAAAAAACCGGAATTTTTGGTATTTACAATTTTTGCTGTAGCTAGAGATGCTGTTAATATTTCACAAAACTTCGATGCACACAACATAGAAGAGGCTTCGCGCTATTGTATCCTAGTCTTGCTTTTGCCAGGAGCTGTTCTTGCATGAACAGAAAATAAAAGTTTGCGAATGTTACCTGCGTGCCAGTGGAAATCCGTCTTCAGAACAAATTTAAAAGCTATAGAATGCTCAACAGGCACTGGGACCAAAGCTGTATATTTTGCATACGTCCTCTAAATTAAAATCTATTGGAATTCGGCCATGGGAACACTTTTTATACTTTTTAAACGATATTTTTGAGTTTTTATTCGCGCAATTGTAGCCAAAATTCCGGTATGCGACGTACACATGCTTCTAATTTAAAATCCAACATTTTTATTCCTAGGCAATGCAAAAAATTCTTTTGGAAGTATGTTGTAGAAAAAAGTTTGCTCTATCATGCTGCGCATTTGCCAAGGTAAAAGGAGCAGTTATTTTGAAGGCGTGGGGCGAATTCCATTACGACTACCTGCGTGCCATGACAGGTGGACCTGCCAAGATTTTGCAGGGCTGCGTGGAAGCCAAGAGAGGAAGTTTTGCAATTCAAGAACTGGGCTGTATCTGCAATCGTTCGAATTATGTGTGCGCCAAATTTTTTATTTCTAGGTACTTCCCTTCTCGTTTTCTACGAAAAAGTACTAGGCTCCCAGACTTTTGCCGCACCCTGTATTTTAACATTTTTTACATCAACATATTTTCATTTTATTCTGTCTGCAACCTATGTAGCTTGCTACTATTTGATAATTATGTACAAGCAATTTCTCTAAAAAAAAGATTGGTAGAGATAGGAGATCATTTCATGTCTATTTTTTTGCGAAAACCCAATGTTTTTCATTTCCTTCCTTTCTCCCTCTCTTCCCCTCCACTGGTCGTTTTTGCTCTGCGCATTTCTGTGATTTTACTATTTTCAAACTCTGCATCTATCTAATTTTTGGAGTTTACGTATCACTGCACATACTTCTTACTCTTCGCATTAGATACTTTGAAAAAATTAAGTTCTGACTTACAATGGTTTTGAAGTCTGAAAAGTGTCCATCCTGGGTATACTTTCCATGAATGATGTGAAACATAATCCAATGATCTTTTGCACAACATTTATGTAGACAGCACTCGCACCCATCTCAAGAAATGCTCTTCAATGAAACTTCGCTTGCTGACTAGAAAAAAACATTCTTTACGCTAAAATGCCATAAATTCTTTTCTATCTGTAAAAACCTACGTCATTTCTTCCATGGCTCAAAATAATTTCAGATGCGGGTTATGCAGGTACTGTTCGAAGCCCAGTTCGGCGCTCAGTCCTGAGGATCTCGGTGTGCATCTACGGTTGATGCATTTTTTGTTACTACCTTGTTTCATGCGATGATCTTTTCCTACATTTACGGAGAATGTATATAAGATGTTGATAGTAAAATTCATTTGTTAGCTATATTATGTACAATCAATAGAATACATATCACAAACAAATGCTTATCATTGTAGATACATACATATGTACAAAGTTGAGGTAAACACAGCTTGAGCTATGCGCGCAAAATGGAAGACAGTTGAGATTTTTGAAAAGCTGGCTTATTCGTTTGGGTTTAGAAACGTACAGTAGGACAAGGTAATACACAACACAAGCATGGCTGATCACAACAAGCTTCACCAAGGAAGCATCCGCAGCAGAGTGCCAACAGTGAAGTCAACCACCAGTTGTCTTGACGGACTTCATCATAGTAGCTGAAAAATAAATTGAAATAATTAATTTCAGAAAAATGGCCATATGTTACCCAATGCGGGCTGCAAAATAATAGTGGAATATTTTGCAATGCTATGTAAAAGAGTCAGCGATTCATCAGGCTTTTGACAAGCTTCTGTTTATTTTTTCATTTCCTGATCTCAGAAGCTTCCTTTGTGAATTGCAACTGCGGATGTTTGTAGTGTCTCAAATCAGGCAAGAAAATCAATCGAAAAATTCAAAATTATCTTTTTGCATGCATCAGGCTGAAACCGAAAAGAAGCCTAATTTCTCGTGAATGATTGCCAGTTGAAGCTTTAGTTGGGATTATCCGTCACCAATAACTAATAGTCCTTGTAAATAAAATCAAAATCATAATAATCAAAAGTAAGGTGTACGAAAAATTATACACCGAACTAAAATATTACAGAGTGAATGGAAGTTTGTTCGCACCATTTTCAAATTCATAGCTTCTGATTTTTCCAATTTACAGTTGTATCAATTTTTGTTTAGAAGATAAAATCATAATTTTTACAAGGATGATATAAATCATAACTTCGCCTGAAGATCGTTCAATCAGCACAGACTTTACCTAGTCAAAGAGGGCAGATAATGAAACCTACAATATGTTCCTAGTATAATTGCAAGTTTCATATTTTACGGCTAAGCTCAGGAAAATGAAAATCTGAATAGTTTCCTTCTGCCGCTTCTATCTATGAAATTTCTGCGTATAGGAAAGCGTTAAAACACCCTCATAAAAAGCATGTTCTGATCTCTCAGACAAAAATGAGGCAAGCAGATATAATGGAAAAATCAGAAGCCATGATTATTTGATAATGCTGCGACAGAACTTTCGTACCAATCTACATAATATGTTGAACCAAAAGTTCAATCGCACCAGTTTCAAACAATCAAAAATTCTCACTTTTCAAGATTTGCACAATTTATTTTCATCTGTAAGAAGCAGTTGCGTACCGAGGGGGGGGGAGGGACGCTCCACACCCGAGAATAGGTCGCGGAATTTTTGGAAGTTACTTGAATGTGTTATAAAAATGTGTAAGCATTTTGTTTTTACTTGTGAATAATTGAGATAATTTATTTAAAAAATAGATGGCGAAATAATACTTGTTCTAAAACTTCGGGGTCAGGAAACCGCGAAAATTTGGAAAGCATCTGAAAAAATGTTTCGGAGTGCGTGGCTAATTTAATTTTTTGCGCAGGACTGCCTAAAACCTAAACCTTGCTATAAAAGTCGGAACACTTGTACAGGTTTTAAGACCTACTCTTTGAACATGAACAAAAATTGTATTGACTGAACTTTAAGTGTAAGAACAAGAATAACAATTTTGATTTTTTTGGCAATTTTCTCAAAAATCGCGCCGCGTATTGCCTAAGAGAATCGGGCAGCATAAGCATCTTTTCCAAAACGCAATGAAGCGGCAGAGCAGCTCGTATAAAAAATAAAAAAAGCGACTTGTGTATTTAAGAATGGTTTAACTTTTCATAAAATACTCGGAAAAAATAAATGTAAATAACTGAAATTAGTCAACTCAAAGTGCAACACAGAGTCAATGAATTTTGAGGTGACATTGTTTTCACTATCTGTCCTGAAAGTTAAAGCGGCGCATTTACTATGGTGTTTGTTACGACTGATCTCTGATCGGCGAACCTTGCACTGGAACAAGTCAACGGTGGCAGCCACAAGAGATAAACAGAGAACGCCGTAACAACATTTTATCTTGTTTTGCAAACAATTATTGCAATTCGATTTTGAATGTTGGCAGCATTCCAACTTTTGACAGATCGTCTCCACGTCGTGTAATCAGGCAAAAAGGAGCTAATAGAAATTTTCGCAAACTTCAGACTGTTACTGCTACTAACGGCAAAAGCAACATGAAAAGGAAAAAAACAAAAAAAAATGCAAAAATCTGCGTTGATTACAGATTAGGTCGAAATGAAGTCTACTTACACTCTGTCGCCTTGTGGTGGGTATGGTCCTTGAGGGTAAGGTCCTTGTGGATAATATCCCTGTCCTCCCTGTGCTGGGTAGTAAGGCGGGTCTTGAGGTTGTGGATAGTACTTTCCCTGGAAAACAACAAAATCGTTAAGATCACAAATATTTAATTAGTACAATGAGAGTGATAATCGTATTTTTATGAGCAGCCAAAATGTTCTCTTCGATCTACGCAACAAAATCAGCAATTCAAGCATTCTTCGACCCCCAGCTGATGAAAGAAAAATAAAGAAAGTGCAAGCTTGAACGCTGTCTCATAAACTTCTTGGGAATAAGGCGCAGGATTCCTATGAAAAAAGTTTTTATGGCATATTTTTGATATAGTTCTTTTTACATCAAAAAATTAATATAGAAAATGGACAGATAAACTCACAGTTGGTTGATTGCTAAAATATGGCTGAGACATCTTTCAGTAGTAAAGATATTCAACTATGGGCTCCGAAAATTTGCGAACAGCCGATCGACGACGACGTAGACCTACTGTGTTTGTGGAGAATGCCACCCCTAGCAGACAGACGATCGATTCCGGTTGTTGTTCTGATGGTGGTTGATGATTGGTGCCTACATATATATCCACGGACTCTAAAGTGCAGCTTGCTCAGCCAGAACTTTCGCAAGAGTTGCTAAATTTACTTCTATCCTCATTCGAGGCGGCCAAAGTACAGCTTACTCATCATTTAGAATTTTCCAGAGTTGTGTAGTCATTCCATTCGGTGACGAAATCTATCCTCATTCAAATTTCCCTCAGATTAGCTTGCGATAGACTGAAATCGATGCTAAAACGAGCAAATGATCCTTGTTTGAGCTTTGAATAAGGCGATGTCTGATTTTGTGGTCTCTCTAAATGCGCAGTGCTCTAGGCTCGAGCGAGTTGATAATCTGGAGCAATGCGTGACGAAAGGCTGCTAAAATCGCGGAAGACGTCGTCCAGATAGACGCTAGAAGGTGAAATTCACATGTTTCATAAATTACTGTAATGGTTTGCACCCACTGAAGACCACATTCCTATTTTTACATGAAAATATCAAGAGTTTGCAATATTTACAGGATATATCTGGTTGTAAGAACTTTCCCGTTCGTGTAAATCACAATCCTCCAGGTAATTCTATCGCCCATATTTCCGAGCGCATGCCTATTTTGGGACGATAAAAAATCTTTACAACACTCAATTTCTCCCACTATGAGAACCGCTGGCATGCGCTTAAAACATATCGATTGAAATGTTTCCTTTGTTTTGCCCCTAATTTTTCAATTTCTGGAAACTATGGTTTGAATCTCTTCGCGTTTCAAAATTAGCTACACTAGAAAAGCTTAAGTTGTTCTCGGGTGCTCAAGGCATTTGTATCAGGTCTGTCCAACTTCGGATCCATATTGCACCCACCAGTAATCAATGCTTTTTCTATGTAATATCTTTTCGGATTGCTACCATCGTGATAATTGCTAAATATTAACTCATATAAACTGCTAGATCCCGACTGCATTGATGTACATGATATCTCAAACTCAAGTAATGAACGGATTTGAGTTACGCGGAGGAAAAATGCTGTGAAGTATACTCTGTAAGAATGTATTTATCCTTGAGTGCTCTGGATATGAAAAAAGGGTGATATTCTAAGTTTGACCGCAAGAATATCGTCAACGGACAAGATCCACTTCTATGACGTTGAAAGATCACGCTTATGCTTGGAAAATTTTCATGTGCTCGTATTGGAGTCGATGCTCCCCGTTTGTATGCTTTGCGATGATTACGAGTCGCAATGCATGTATTTGTCATCAGAATAATTTTTTTTACATAATTTCATTATCCAAGTCATTGTGATTTAATTTTTGCGCGGTTGTTTGGTCTGCTATGACTCATATCAGGTAGGCGATGACTCAAAGGGATGGAACAAAAGTGGGTGGGAACAGAGAAACGCGCAATAGGAAGCGTCTCGTTTTTAATTTATTACGCGGTACGTCTGAATGTCATGTTTTTGGGATGTGAAGATCGAGAAATTCACTGAGGCATTATAGATCAGAAACTTTAGGTACAAAAAGATTTCTGCTCTAATTCATGTATATTTAGAGTCATCACTCATTTATCGGGAACCAGAATATCGTTGACTATAATTAGCAGCAGTGACCGAAAACGTTTCGAAAGATGAGGTCTGAAAGGAGAAGTTGTTCTGAGGTTTGCCATCATCCAGCAAGCCTAGCTCCTTCTCGTTGCTGTTAGTTGGAATAATGTGGCAAACTTTTTTGGGTGTATGTCGAAAGGCGCGCGTTCCCTCAGCCTTCATTGCCAGACTGGGTCAGTTCTCTGCAAAAGCAGTTTTACAGATTATGAGATTTTCTCATACATCAGAAAGTATAAAGAAGGATAACCAGTTGAAATCCGATAGTATTAAAATAAGTTTGAACTTATTTCTTGCTTCTTCCAGTTAGTAAAAACCGATCAGTGCGCGCCTTACGACCGTCTCCCAACTTTTTTAGCTGTTTGATATGCAAATCTAGCTCCCGATATGTTCGGTGGTAGTTTTATCTTTACTAAACTCAGTTGCTACATCTACAAAATTGAAACACATTACAAGTCCGTGTTAGTCATGTCGTCGGTTTGATTATACCAGCACTACCATCTATGTTGCATTTTGCAGTCATGAACTTGAAACTATGTCGCTTGACAACGCCCTGTTTATGGAAAAAGTTTCTTATTTCTGGGAGAAAAACCTTGAATATCAACACCTATCACATCTTTGATCATCCATTGTTTCCCTCTAAAATATCTCAAGCTATTTACTATCAAACGACGAGAACGAGGAATTTGATATGAGTCACCGTTGTGCTTCCTAGCTATCACAACAATCGAAATTTTCTTTTCTCTACATTCTTCTCGAATGCCACACCCTTCTCCTCACTGTAGCCGGCGAATGTAACCGGTTCTCGGGTAAAATAATAACGGCTTACCCAAACAAGGTCGTTGGCTTGAATCAAAGTCTTAGGTTTCCAGTAGCCTACTGGTAATATGCTCTGTTTTATCAGCGCGAAAACTTCACAGAACTCATTTTATATAATTTGTAAAATTTATTTTGCCAAAGTCAAAGAAAAAGTAATCGCTCAGCGATCATGTGTAGATCATATAGATCATATCACATAAATCAACAAATTATAACTTTAACAAAATGCGAGAAAGTGAGAGGCGCATTGGAAGGAAGAGTCTGCTAAATTCATCAGAAATGCCAAATTTTTATTGAGATTCTATAGCTTTAGTTTTTTGAAGAGTTTCCATCGAAGTTAGTGTCTACCATCGGAAACGTGGAAGTGCAATGGGACAAGGAAGTACACAGCAAAGACAAGGCTGGTCACAACATGCTTCTCCTATAAGGCATCCACAGCAGAGCGCAAGCAAGGAGGTCAGCCACCAGTCATCTTGCCGAGGAGCAGGCTGTTGAACGTAACTGAAACTCTAGTAAGGTAAATCACAATGCATTCTAAAAGCAAAGACGTTGCCGTCAACTGTTTGTAGATTCTTCAACTATGATAGCTCTCGATAACGGGCTGCCCGGACAAAAATGACCATAAAATTTCAAAGAAACCAAAAAGCAAACTCTCGGCCGGTATCGATCGGGATAATTAATTGGCTAGAAATATTTCGAACGATATGCAATGCTTGTTTTGTCAGAATTTACTTCAGTGAGAATCCGAAGGTACACATTATTCAAACTAATTATTACATTTTGATAAAGAAAAGGCTTAATCTCAATGAAGAAAAGGCCCAATTAAGTGAGATACGATACCTTTCTCATGCTGCTTGAATGTGAGGAAATCTGTTATACATATCAACTACAAAAATTCGGAATTTCTCTCTCAATCAGAATTTTATTTCTAGAAAAATGACCTGCATAGATAAAATAAAGAATGAAAGCCTAGAGTGATTATCAGGTTTTGAGCTATCATTTACATAGTAGCGTGGTTGTTGCATGTATTGGAAAAGAAAATTCTACAATACATGACTCACACTGTTTGGGGAACATATTGCCCCTGTGGATAGGGACCTGGTCCTTGTGGATAATATTGACCTTGGGGAGGATATGGATTTTGATTCTGCGGATAATACTGACCCTACAAGAATATGAATTAGGGATGTCGAGAAGTGTTTACGACAATCACATGAGCAGTCCTCATTGTTTATTGAGCAGAAAAAGAAAGCTAATACATCGATCAGGTTCTGATACTTTCTCAAGGTTTTGCATGAAGGTCGCTTTAAAATGTTCTTTTCGAAAGTTAAGTGAGAGCTTAAATTATTTGCATGCTTTATTCCGAGGTTCTAGGTTGGTCCAGCGGGATTTTTTTCACGTTTTATCATTTTGTTTTTCACGAATTGTTTTTTTTTCAATAGATGTAAAAGGAGATCATGCATCTATGTTTTGAGCAAAAATCCGTACTGACATATTGATACTAAGTATCATTTCAAGTTTGCTCACTAAAAATGCAAAAAAGCCAGCAAGATTCAGTTTTTCACCGGTGGTTATGAGAATTACTAATGAATTATTAAAAAGACGGCATTCACTTTGCGATCTCTAAAAGAATCTCCTTGGAAACATGTCCATGTGCATGTAACAGTGGGAATTGAGCACACAATGCAAATAAAACGTGCACTATAGAGATGAAATCCTAATCCTCAATTCGATCAACAAATTGACCATATACGATCGACATGAAAACGAACTCGCAACCTCACCCTTAAAGTCAATTTTACGATCCCTCATTTCTTACGGTCAAATAATGACCGAGATTAGATTTGAAACTGAAAACGCAGAAACAAAATCGTGCTCGTGAAAATATCTATGCCTAGAACTGCACTTCTCATAATAAACGAAGGTATGTATTTTTAGAGCAATTTGCATTCGAAACAATGAACGTTCAAAAAAACTGTGAGGGGCAACGGAAAAATGTACTTTTTTGGTCAACAACTCAAAAAAGGTTATTCACTGTAGGTTATTTTCAGCGTTTCAAGCTGGCGAGCTATTATTACACTTTATGTAAAATGATTCTTCGGGGATGTAATGCGAGTTTGATAGGAGGGCTTGATGGTTACTGATTTCAAGATCTCAGAACTCATAGCGCACTCTACAAAAAGAAGTCCAACTGGAAAGAATAAATTGCAAATGAATACCAAAAAAAACTCACTGTTGGCTGAGTAGTATAGTAAGGTTGGGACATTGGGCTGGAGAAAGTGAATGCTACGGAACAGAGGAAGTGTTAATTTACGAAATAGGGGAGTTTATGTAGTAACGAAAGTGCAGTCTGTGAAACACAGTCGAAAACGACGATTCTTTGAGACCTTTTGTATGCTTAGTCACAGCGGAAACCTGCCCACGTGCGACGCAATCGATTCTGCGCAATGGATGTGGGTTCTTTGACACTAGAGGGCAAACGGATTTGGTGGCTTTGTCAGATGAAGGTAAGCTGGAAGGTTTAGGTAAGCTCAGAACCTGGCACGAAGGTGGCAAATGAATCACGTGGAACGAATGCGCCTTTGGACCGTTTTATCGTTTGGAAGCCGCATTCGTTTGCTATTTCGACTACTCCGAGACCAAATTTGCACTATATAGTAAATATTAGGTTAGAGTAGAGCTATGTTAATTATGAAAACATATACGAACATTCTCCTTGAACATTCTGTTTGTTCACCTTTGCCACCCTCAGGGTGGCATTAAAGGCACCGTCCACCCAAAATGGAGGTTGGCGAGATTATGATGGCATACTAGGTGGGCCCCCATACTAAACAAATCTCCAAGCTTCGCCGCAAAAGACTGCTTCTGGAGCGAGAAATCCGCTCCGGAAGTAGCAAAGTAGGCGGGCACTTGCATGCTTTAACCCGCCTGCGCTTGTTGCAGAGGGTTCTCGAAACAGGGATTTTTGGGCGTTTCGCGGATTTTCGACTCCATATTCGGAATCAGGGCTTCCAGACGGCCTGAACGACAAAAGCATTGAATTCGAGATTTTGGGTGGACCCTTCAAGGCAATTAATTTGGGAAAAGTTAAGCACGCTTTCTGTTCAAATAAGTTTTTCATAGGTTTTCGTACTTTGTTCCTTGTTCCCACTGCGAGTATAGAATCCAAGCTGGAAGCCATATCGTTGCATGTGCGTTGCAAGTGACTCATATCCAGAGGTGCCATAGTGGGAGCCGATTCTCCCCCTACCTTCACTTTTAGCTGGTACAGGGTGACCACCTTCACTTTTGGAATAAAAAATTTTTCGCTGGACGATAAAGAAGGAAAATAAGCAAAACAAACGCAAAAAAGATCATCGAAAGCATATATTTATGTATACGGCGGCATATATATTTAAAATAAACGTGTTCATAAATGGTGTATTCGGAAGTAAAACTTAGCGAGGCTGTACGGATTTTATTAAGCAAATTTTGTTATAATGTATAGCGAAGAAAGTAGATCGATCCAGGCAGTAACGGCCGAGAACCAGAATTTTGGATAATTAAATAATGAAAAATCATGCAAAATTTCCACTTTATAAATCTGTTGTTTGAAGATGTCAGCAGTTGCGACTTCATAGGTTTTGAAGAGTAAGTGGTGCTCTATCAGCTAGTGAAAGAATCGAGTGGATTTGAGAGATAGTTGTTGAAAACCAGAATTCTAAAAATTTACGCCATTTTTGCGTGTTTTTTGACAGTTGACAGTTAAACTTATATAAATCTTGAATGTGAAAGTGTGTGATGTTGCGACTTCATAAACATAGAGTAAGGTTTGCCTTATCAGGATATATCTTAGCAGTTCCGATCCATTAAAACACCTCCGAGATCCAGAGTCTTGAAAAAGCAGGTAAAAAGCGCTTTTTGAATTTCAACAGCTCATAACTTCTTCAGAACTGCAGGAATCACATTGCGACTTCATAGGTTAGATTCTCCTCATCAAGAGATTTCAGAAGATATACAATATGTGGGGTTTAGAGCCTCCTACGAATTATGCCCGTGGGGGGAGCCTTTTCATACCAAAGTCTCCCCCTAGCCCACTTTAATGTATTGGAGGGGGGAGACTTTGGTATGAAAAGGCTCCCCCCACGGGCATAATTCGTAGGAGGCTCTAAACCTCACATATTATATATCTTCTGAAATCTCTTGATGAGGAGAATCTAACCTATGAAGTCGCAGTGTGATTCCTTCAGTTCTGAAGAAGTTATGAGCTGTTGAAATTCAAAAAGCGCTTTTTTACCTGCTTTTTCAAGACTCTGGATCTCGGAGGTTTTTTAATGGATCGGAACTGCTAAGATATATCCTGATAAGGCAAACCTTACTCTATATTTATGAAGTCGCAACATCACACACTTTCACATTCAAGATTTATATAAGTTTAACTGTCAACTGTCAAAAAACACGCAAAAATGGCGTAAATTTTTAGAATTCTGGTTTTCAACGACTATCTCTCAAATCCACTCGATTCTTTCACTAGCTGATAGAGCACCACTTACTCTTCAAAACCTATGAAGTCGCAACTGCTGACATCTTCAAACAACAGATTTAAAACAGTGGAAATTTTGCATGATTTTCCACTATTTTAGATATTATGTTTATATGTTTATTTTAGATATCTATGACGCTGTATACATAAAAATATGCTTTCAATGATCCCTTTTGCATTTGTTTTTTAAGATTGGCGGCAACGACAGGATAGACGTCAATGCTCCCCCCTCCCCCCCCCCCCGCCCCGGTCGACGTTTTTGTGAGGTGAGTGTCCGGCACTACCACCTTCACTTTTGGTGGGCCCGGCTCCTCCCATCGCACCTCTGCTCATATCTTATTTCTAGTAGTTGGAAATCCCTGGACAGAAGGTACCGCGCCGTTCAATCGCATATGGTATGTACTGACACGGAGTGTGATAGTCCATTTGTTTCTTCATGTGGAATGTCCAGCTTGACATTTGCCAATTTCGCGCCGGGGCCTGGGCAAGCTATGGAAAGCCTCTCATGTGTTCGTACTTTACATCTCACAGAGAGACCGTCTCGCCGGCAAACTACCCTCTAATTCAACAGGAGCGACAGGTGGGTGGGGCTCTGCACCCTTTTCGCGATCTGCTCTCTAGTGATTGGAGCTCCGCCTTTCCCATGCTCCTCAGACATCCGCAGTTGACTCGGCAGGACAAAACGAGGTGCAGTCACGAAATGCCTGCGTGACTGCCGAAATCAGTGTCGGGACAAATTTAGGACACCTGATTTTGTTCCAAGACAAAAGTGCGCGACAAAATCTGGTGTCTCCACTGACACATCCCGGTCAAAATCGGACTGGCTATGATTTTTTCATAAGTGGTACACTCCAGTTGCAATGCTCACTGATACGAATCAATGTGTTCATATAAAAATTCACTGCAAAGTGATTTTCGCATACATTATCCAAGTCGCAAGAAGATTAGTTTTCCAAATAGCCAATTAAATTATTTGAGACATACAACAGCAAATACAGCTGCTAAGGAGATTCAGCTTCAATGTTCGTAGCATAATAGTAAGACTGGTCCGATCAAATATGGTAACGAAAGCTGATTTGAGTAACCTTCGAAAATTCCCAATGTACTTTCTCTCTTAAAGGCAGTGTCCGGGCAAAAACTCGATTTTGAGATTTTGTGCTTATACGGGCCTATTCGCCATGCTGAATCCGAAAATCAACATTGGAAAGCCCGAAAACGGCGAAAAGGGCTTTAACACAGAAGGGAAATCAGCAGGTGGGCGAGGCTTTCCCCAGTGCGATTTCGCACTCTTAGCTTCCGGAGCGATTGCCAGCGTTCATATTTTAGCGATCCTATTTTCTACTCTAATCTGAGGTAAGTTTCAAAAGAAGTGGAAAAAAGCAAAAATTGTATATATGAGATATGGGCTTTTCACACTGAAGCACACCATGTAGACGACAGGACGCACGACGCCGCGCTCCCTTTTTCTGAAATTTCGGGAACATCCGCAAAAAATTTGGGAAGCACCACAGAGATTCTCGAAGGCATGGCTGACGCCACGCACCTCCATCCAAAAATTGTTAGACTAAAAATTTTCCAACCAAGGTCAAACAGCTCTTTTCGTTACCGCTTTCATCCCGGAAGCTCAAAAGTAACAACTTTCTTGTAATGATCCAGTTTGGTGTTTTTAAGAGCCCTCACTCCAATCACCACTGAGGCCGCGCTTTTTCAACCCATCCGTAAAAAATCTCCGTTATTTCTCATCTTCTCATCTCTTGCAAACCATCATGTAGATGAAGTTTCGTTCTTTCGATTGAGCCTAATTGCAGGCTCACACGTTGACTGCAGGCCGAGTTACAAGCCTGCAAAGCGGTACAAGTTAGTGGTGAGGTGCAGGTGGGGTTATGTGCAAGCACTGCCAAAGCCTTTTCTGCAAAGAAACTTATCAGCACACGTCCGATGCATAGAGAATGGCAAAGAGCACCTTCTTCTAACTAGCTTTGTTGGGATGTGTTGAATAGGTTCCCATGGGAAAAAATTTGGCTTGAGAAAGGGATTAGAAGTTTTTTGAAAAAAGCAAAATAAAACTCAAGCTTGTGTTTTTTAGGAAGCGACCATAACTAGTATGTAGTTCTTGACGAGCTCTGTATAGTAGTATGCTTTCCCGTTCGAATTACTTGTGTTTCCGCTTCAAAATATTGCGTTCGAAGAATTATTGTCCGCGACATTGTGACGCGGCCATTTTCGGCCTTTTTCTGGAAAAAGATTTTTAAAATTTTTAGAATACGTGCTTCTCAAGAAGCGCAAAATGTAGATTGTAGATCTTGAAGAGCTCTATCATATCATGCAATTACTGAATTTCTTTATCTTTGTTTTCCTTCTGAAAAAGAGCGATGAAAAAGGGAGAGGGATTTGTCCGCAACTTTTTGGCGGTCACTGTAAATGCAAAAGCTCATATTTTTATATCGTCCTTATACCTGTATGTGTTTCGTATGTAAATTCGAATGAAAAACTACATTCAAGCGGTGTCGTACAAATGCTGCGCATCCAATTTTGGTCTAAAATTTCATAATCTGCTTTCTGTAACCGATCGACATTGATAATTGCTCGATCGTTTTTTAATCTTGGCATTGTTGATAGTTGTGAATGCGAAAACATCTGATTGTAGAGAGGAAGAAGATTGCGGTCCTCCGGAACACACGCTGGTAGTGATGCAAGGTTCGTGTACAGAATATGCTTCACCGTGACTTAACCATCAAATTGAGTTCGCAGATTATCCAATCGCTACTTTATAGAAGCCATTGATAACTTTGGATGACTTGCAATGCTTTGTCTCGGGTCATGATTTGAAAAAAAGAAAATTTTGCCCTGTTGAACTTTGTGTCCAACTAGGGTAGCGATCTGGATTGAGATTTGGGATAATCAGAAAATTTCCATCGAAACTAGAGCTTCGAGTTCAAAAAATGAAGGCATCAATAATATTCAAAAGAGAGCACTGAATTGCGAAATGACGGAGTCTTGGGAGTAGAGGGACATGGGAAC